CCCCAAAACCCCAAAACCCCAAAACCCCAAAACCCCATCTGTATAAAAAATGATTGAAATTAGAATTATCTTAGAAACGGCTTTCATAGAGATTCCCTCTAACAGCTTGTGGACCAAAGGAATGATAATTACTTCTCCTGAATGCTTGGGAAATCTCTGATCGAGTTTTGCCAAAGCTCTCTTTTAGCACAATGGTTATAATGAAAAAGCTTGCAATACAAAATCCCCCAAATACAAAGAAAAATAACGTATTAGATTCGTGAAATTGGATATAAATATTCATACTGTCCGTGATCCAGGAGGCAATTGTTGGGAGGAGCAAAACTACTCCATTAGTCAACCAATGAGCAGACGTGGTTATGGCCATCCCTTTATCTGTAAGTATTTCGATTCAGTATATATAAAGGGTGGAAGCAAGGGTCACCCGAAAATTGGTCGCAAAGATTGTTACAAAAATTGTTGATAATATATTTGCAAAGCTGTCAAACATGGGAACTCCATAATCAGTGTAATTTACCTCTAAAGATGCTTGAAATAGCACTGTTAAACAAAATCAGCTAACAAGGAAGCCAATAAGAAGGAGTGTCTTCCTTCTTCAGTATGTGAGAAACACCATTGTAACTGGAACCAATAGGAGATTCAGGAAAGAAATGATCAGTCTTAAATTCCAACGACTCGAGTCAGGATTAAATCTCAAAGAGGAAGCAAAATTGATAACAATATCAATACCTGACAACTCAATTATTCATCTCAATATGACTCAAGCCCACAGTTTCCGCTTGCCTCTCGTCTTACAAAGAGCTTTCCAGGTATCTTTTTCCATTCTGGTCGGAGGTTGTCTTGATGCTTGTTGGATATTTGTGATGAATTCATCTCCATAAGCCGAGTCCACCGATGCATTTTCACCACTTGTTTCATAAGAATCTGACTTAGAGATAAGATATTCTTCATAAATAGGATTTTCTCTCCTAAAAATAAATAAGAGGCAGAGTAGTTTCATGAAGGCAATGATAATCGGACCTGAAAATATTTCTCTCCAGATTATATGCTTTCCTTCCAAAGGCTTGCAATAGTCATCGACTCGAGAGAAGGGTTGGGTGAAGTCAGGAAGCCAAAAGTTCATGACATATGCATAAAATTGACCAATATTTACCCAAAGTGCTATGAATCAAATTAAGATTCCTCTCATTTTCTCAGGGGCAACCTCCATGATAAACATTGGAGATAGAGCATTTGAAATTCCAAAAGAAAAGCCCATGATTCCTCTTCCGATTATATAAGCTTGGTAAGATCTGATCATTTGGATTACAGAGCCTATAATTGTATAATAACTGCTGATAACATAAGCCCTTTCCTCTTGCCGCGTTTCACAAGAATCCATGCAATTCCTGCTCCAATACCTGCTGATAACGGAACTATAAGTCAACCTCTAATTTCTAAAATTTCTACTGAGCCTGGCCTGCGGCTGCATAAAAATTTACGTACAAAATTTGAGAGTTCACAGTACAGATTTTAGAATTGAGAGATTCTTGAACTAGTGGAAGCTTACAGATAATATTTGCACCTGTGTTGATCCATCGTCTTCGAGGAGGGTGGAAATTGAAGATACATGGGGTGAAGTCCCATAGGACACTGACGATGTTACTTGTGTAGCCTAGTTCGAAATTGCCCATTGTGAGGACTAGTGACCATAAAATCAGGTAACTTCTGCTGTACATTTGTATACGATAATGATATTATTATTCGGTATGGGTGCTTTATTGGGGTTTTGGGGTTTTGGGGTTTTGGGGTTTTGGGGTTTTGGGG